TCTTTTCTTATTTGGATTTATTTTACAATTAAATCAGTTGTCCTACATGTGTCCAACTTCCCAGATTCCGGGCCTGCTTTCCAGTGATTTATTTAATTAGTTCTCTATCCCTGTATTTTTAGTAAGTTTGAAATTCTCAAAATTTATATAAGAAAACTCATTATAATCAGTGGATAGCAATTTTTTTTAAAGATTTATTTATTTGTGCATACAGAACTGGGGTACAGGCCAGAGGCTTAGGGGCAGTGAGAGGCTTCACCAGAGACAGAGTGGGGAATAGAACAGGCAGATTGACGAAGTACACTGCTGAGGGGAGCAGCGGGCGGGTCAGGAGAGGTCTGCCATGCCATGTAGTCACCTCCGGGGCAAGTGGGAATCGAACTCGTGCAGAAGTGGCTTTAGATTCTCAATACTGTGCTTTTAACCTGCTGCGCCACCAGGGAGGGCCCGTGGATAGCAATTTTTAAGAAAATTTGATCGTAACTGAAGGTGTTATCAGTAACCTAGATATAGTAAGATCTCTCCATTGATTCATATGGGGTTGGAGATTTTGGACATAGTTGAATTTTTAGGAATAAACTTCCCTCCATGCAAAGGACTGGAGGATAGAATGAAATGCACTTCCTAATGAAGTTGCACTATTATAAAAAAGAACATAGGTACATATAAGCATGCCAATTATTTGCCAATAACTATTCAAATAATGCCCTAAAAGGAAAACTAATCCCAAACCAAATTCATATCTTATAAATTATCAAGACTTCCATTTTCATCAGCCTGGACCATTTTCTGATTTTTCTTAAATTTTATTGCTCTTATCTCTGAGACTTCTATGTTGATGTAGAAGTGACATCACTCGGGGTCCATAGTTTCCTCATGTATAATTCAGACTCTGCATTTTTTTTTTTTTGCAGTAGTAATAAAGAAGTGAGACAGTTTTAGCCATTGTTGATATCAATTTGTTCCTTCACTGGTAATGATAACTTTTATTAATATGTAGTCATCTATGTCTCATTGATACTACTCTGGTCTATCTTTTTCTTTCTTTTTTTTTTTTTTTTTAATTTCCTTATACATACCTCCTTTACTCTTTCTCCCTCTGCTTTCTATCTTAATCTCAAAAATTTTAGCTCATTGATCAATATATGATATTTTAAAATTATTTTTGTCGGTTCATCTGCTTTGATTCCTTACTTGTATGTCTTTAGTGGATATTTTTATGTTCTTTGGCTAGATAGCCATAGATAGTCATGTATGACTATGGATAGTTATACCATTATTTATTTATCTATTTTTTATTATTTATTTATTTGTTTGTTTTTAAAATAGGTCCAGATCACTTTCTAAAATAGCTCCGCCAGTTTATAGTTCCACTAATAATGTATTAGTGGTCTTTTAATATATTCAAGTCCCATGGGTGTAAAATATTAAGTCATTGTAATTTGCCTTGTATCTTTCTTATTACAAGTAATGAGTGTTTTGTCACATGTCAGTCAGTGTTTTGTATATTCTCTTTGGTAAATTGCCTTTCAGATATGCTACCTGTTTTTTTTTTTTTTTTTAAAGATTTATTTATTCGTACATACAGAACTGGGGTACAGGTCAGAGATGTGGAGGGTGAGAGGATTCACCAGGGACAGAGTG